ACTCTATAAGGAAAACCCCCCCCCCCCCACAAAAAAAAAAAAAAAAAAGGAGAAGAAAATCTAGTTTCTTTCTGCCAGAATTCTAGCACAGTGGGGCTGTATAGGAATGTACCTACTGTGGAATCTTCCCACACCCTTGAGTTGTTAAGAGTAGCTAGCAGAAACATGTTCATACACTCCCCAAATGTCTGAGCTGGCAACAACAAAAGATAATCAGAGACCTTAGCCCTGGGACAATAGCTTCTGTCAGTCTACTAGAGTTCTCACGACTCTGGGTTTCTGCTCTTACTCTAACCTCATACCAAACAGTGTATCACACCTGTGCGAGTACTTGAGAAAACCACACAAATGAATTCACACAGTCGTATAGCAATTTGGCAGGATAGCAATACTACTAATAAAGTACACTTAAAAAAAATTCAAGGATTTAGACAAGAATATTACTTTTAGCATCCACACAGAAGATTTAACAAAGGACCTAGGGTCCAGTAACCTGTCCCTGGGACCAACACCCAAAATGATCAGATAGACTTTCCATGTCAAGGGAGTTACCTGGTAAGAAGACAAAGATCAGAACTTCATTTCTTACCTGAAGCCAAAGGCCGGATCCACTCTTTGCTATTTAGGTCAAGTCTCCAGAGGTCATTAAAAGCAGCATTGCAGCTGCTCTGGGTACAGCCTCCAAACACATACATAGATTGATTAGCATCATAATAGCATGCACCTAGAAAGGAAACAGTAAGTGAATAATTCATTGCTGTTTAATTTTTTTTAAAAGAATTATTTTATTTAACTTTATTTATTTATTTTAATTTGACCAGAGAGGGGCAGAGTGAGAGCAAGAGAGAGAGAGACTGAGAGAGCAAGCCGCCAGGTCTGGGACTTGAACTGCAGTCAGCCATGCAGGAGTCCAGCGTCCTTAACCACCATGCCACCTGCCGGTCCCCATTGCTGTTTAATTTTAAGGCCCTTCCAACACTTTAACCATAGTCCATATTTTTCAAAGCTCTATTATTTCACATATTTTAAGCAACTCTTTTACCAGGTATCAAATTTCTGTAACCATCCTCCTATCTTCAGGTTGATTCAGTATTACATTAGCCTTCTTTTTTTGGGGGGAGAGGTTTTTGCTATAGGGCATGTGTGTTCACCAGAAAGACAGTGACAGTGAGAAATCACCCCCCCGGGGGGGGTGGGTGGCCACACATAATCCATTTTCCTCCATTCTCCTCTTGGGATCTTGGGCACACACACATACAAGCGCTCAGCGTGAGTTTAAGCCACCGGGTCCAGGGCTTCAACTGCAGTTGACTATATGGGAGTCTAGTGACATAGGCATTATGCCAACTGCTGGTCCCCTTCTCTTTTTATTTAAGAGAGATTTTGTAGGACTATCCCCCAGGGGGGGATGGCCACACCACAATCTCTTCTCCTCCAGTCTTCTCTTGGGATTTTGGATATGCATGCACACACACCCAGCGTGAGTTCTAAGCCCGCAGGTCCAGGACTCAAATAATGGTTGACTACAAGGGAGTCCAGCAACATAACCATTACACCATCTACTGGTCCCAGCAAAACTTTCTTTTCCATCCATTTTATGCACGCCAGATCTCTCAATGTTCATATAAAACTAATAGTGAAGCATCACATAAAAGGAAGGGAAAAAAGAGAAGAAATTCAGAGATTCGGAGCACTAGTGCTTCGTGTCAGTAATAATCCAGCTTATTTGTAGGTCTAGCTGAATTTCACATACCACTACTTTAAGATCTCTCTGAATTCTGGCACAACTTACCAAAGATCAGAAAGAGGAACCGGCAGATGATATAATGGTTACGTTGCTGGAGTGCCATGTAGGCAACCGTGGTTAAAATCCAGGACTTGGCAGCTTAAAACTCATGCCCAAAATCCTGAGAGGAGAATGGAGGAGGAGGGATGGCGGTGTGGCCACTCCCCCTCCCCCCAGGGCAGTGATTTCTCACTTTCGCTCTCTGTTCTCCAGTGAGAGCCTACACACTATGCCACAAATCTCTCTCAAAAGAGAGAGAGAGAGAGAAAAACATTATTAACATTATTATTAACTCATCCAATGCCACTATCACTTTTTTTTTTAATGTTTTTGCCACAGTGCCTGAGCTTGGGTTGGAGAGAGACAATGAGAAGCAAAGTGAAAAATCACCCCTCAAGGGGGAATGGCAATGCTGCAATCCCTTCTCCTCCTTGGATTTTGGCCATGTACACACACGGGCCAGCATGATTCTCAAGCCACCAGGTCCAGGACTCAAACCATGGTCAGTCATATGAGAGTCCAGTACCATAACCACTAGGCTACATGCTGGTCCCATCACTACTATCATTAGCTCGGTAATATATACTAGCTCTGGGAATAACCTTTTCCCCCACCAATGCCCTTAACTCAGTCCATCCAATTTGGCCCTTTAAGAAATCTCTACATGGGGGACCAGCAGTTAGCGTAATGGTTATGTCACTGGACTCCCATGTAGTCGACCACAGTTCACGTCCTGGACCCCGTGGCTTAAAACTCACGCCAGGCGCATGTGCGTGCATGCCCAAGATCCCAAGAGGAGAATGGAGGAAAAGGAACTGCGGTGTGGCCATCCCCCCAGGGGGTGATTTCTCGCTTTCTATCTCTCTGTCTCTCTGTCTGTCGGGCGAGCGCATGCGTCCTATAGCAAAAACCTCTCCACCCCGCCCAAAAAAAAATCTCTACACAGAGCCCGCAGGTGGCATAGTGGTTAAGGTGTTGGACTCCCACATAGCCGATCACAGTTCAAATTTCAGACTCAGAGGCTGGACATGTACGTGTGGTGCATGCATGCTGAAAATTATATTCTCCAAAGGAGAAAAGGGATTATGGCATGGACAACACCTAAGGGATGATTTCTCACTTTCTCTGTTTCTCCAGTGGGCTCATGCGCCCTATAACAAAAGTCTCTCTTAAAAGGAATAGCAGGGCTGGCAGTGGTTTGGTGGTTAAGGGTGGTAGACTCTGACATGGCTGATTGTGGTTTGAGTTCCAGACGTGGCGGCTCACTTTCTCTCTCTCTCTCTCACTTGCTCTCGCTCTTACTCTGTCCCTCTCTGGTCAAATTAAAATAAATAAATAAGTAAATAAAGCTAAATACAATTTTTTTAAAGGAATATCTACACTAGGAAGGCCAAGTCACAAAACTCAATACATTAAAAGCTTAAAAGCTTGTAAAAGCAGTGTGTTTAGTCACTTACATTCAGGAATCTCAGTCAATGGAAGGAGTAAATCCAAATTATCTGACCACTGACACTGCGAAATGGAACTACAGCATTTTCAAATTTACCAAACACTAAAGCACTTAGAGAAAATAGAGATGTCAACACATCTGTAAAATATCTACTATATCCTCAGGACTTTCACTAAATCCTTAAATATACTACAGTGGTATGTAACAATTTAAGAAGTCTCAACTCTATAAGGAAAACCCCCCCCCCCCCACAAAAAAAAAAAAAAAAAAGGAGAAGAAAATCTAGTTTCTTTCTGCCAGAATTCTAGCACAGTGGGGCTGTATAGGAATGTACCTACTGTGGAATCTTCCCACACCCTTGAGTTGTTAAGAGTAGCTAGCAGAAACATGTTCATACACTCCCCAAATGTCTGAGCTGGCAACAACAAAAGATAATCAGAGACCTTAGCCCTGGGACAATAGCTTCTGTCAGTCTACTAGAGTTCTCACGACTCTGGGTTTCTGCTCTTACTCTAACCTCATACCAAACAGTGTATCACACCTGTGCGAGTACTTGAGAAAACCACACAAATGAATTCACACAGTCGTATAGCAATTTGGCAGGATAGCAATACTACTAATAAAGTACACTTAAAAAAAATTCAAGGATTTAGACAAGAATATTACTTTTAGCATCCACACAGAAGATTTAACAAAGGACCTAGGGTCCAGTAACCTGTCCCTGGGACCAACACCCAAAATGATCAGATAGACTTTCCATGTCAAGGGAGTTACCTGGTAAGAAGACAAAGATCAGAACTTCATTTCTTACCTGAAGCCAAAGGCCGGATCCACTCTTTGCTATTTAGGTCAAGTCTCCAGAGGTCATTAAAAGCAGCATTGCAGCTGCTCTGGGTACAGCCTCCAAACACATACATAGATTGATTAGCATCATAATAGCATGCACCTAGAAAGGAAACAGTAAGTGAATAATTCATTGCTGTTTAATTTTTTTTAAAAGAATTATTTTATTTAACTTTATTTATTTATTTTAATTTGACCAGAGAGGGGCAGAGTGAGAGCAAGAGAGAGAGAGACTGAGAGAGCAAGCCGCCAGGTCTGGGACTTGAACTGCAGTCAGCCATGCAGGAGTCCAGCGTCCTTAACCACCATGCCACCTGCCGGTCCCCATTGCTGTTTAATTTTAAGGCCCTTCCAACACTTTAACCATAGTCCATATTTTTCAAAGCTCTATTATTTCACATATTTTAAGCAACTCTTTTACCAGGTATCAAATTTCTGTAACCATCCTCCTATCTTCAGGTTGATTCAGTATTACATTAGCCTTCTTTTTTTGGGGGGAGAGGTTTTTGCTATAGGGCATGTGTGTTCACCAGAAAGACAGTGACAGTGAGAAATCACCCCCCCGGGGGGGGTGGGTGGCCACACATAATCCATTTTCCTCCATTCTCCTCTTGGGATCTTGGGCACACACACATACAAGCGCTCAGCGTGAGTTTAAGCCACCGGGTCCAGGGCTTCAACTGCAGTTGACTATATGGGAGTCTAGTGACATAGGCATTATGCCAACTGCTGGTCCCCTTCTCTTTTTATTTAAGAGAGATTTTGTAGGACTATCCCCCAGGGGGGGATGGCCACACCACAATCTCTTCTCCTCCAGTCTTCTCTTGGGATTTTGGATATGCATGCACACACACCCAGCGTGAGTTCTAAGCCCGCAGGTCCAGGACTCAAATAATGGTTGACTACAAGGGAGTCCAGCAACATAACCATTACACCATCTACTGGTCCCAGCAAAACTTTCTTTTCCATCCATTTTATGCACGCCAGATCTCTCAATGTTCATATAAAACTAATAGTGAAGCATCACATAAAAGGAAGGGAAAAAAGAGAAGAAATTCAGAGATTCGGAGCACTAGTGCTTCGTGTCAGTAATAATCCAGCTTATTTGTAGGTCTAGCTGAATTTCACATACCACTACTTTAAGATCTCTCTGAATTCTGGCACAACTTACCAAAGATCAGAAAGAGGAACCGGCAGATGATATAATGGTTACGTTGCTGGAGTGCCATGTAGGCAACCGTGGTTAAAATCCAGGACTTGGCAGCTTAAAACTCATGCCCAAAATCCTGAGAGGAGAATGGAGGAGGAGGGATGGCGGTGTGGCCACTCCCCCTCCCCCCAGTGCAGTGATTTCTCACTTTCGCTCTCTGTTCTCCAGTGAGAGCCTACACACTATGCCACAAATCTCTCTCAAAAGAGAGAGAGAGAGAGAAAAACATTATTAACATTATTATTAACTCATCCAATGCCACTATCACTTTTTTTTTTAATGTTTTTGCCACAGTGCCTGAGCTTGGGTTGGAGAGAGACAATGAGAAGCAAAGTGAAAAATCACCCCTCAAGGGGGAATGGCAATGCTGCAATCCCTTCTCCTCCTTGGATTTTGGCCATGTACACACACGTGCCAGCATGATTCTCAAGCCACCAGGTCCAGGACTCAAACCATGGTCAGTCATATGAGAGTCCAGTACCATAACCACTAGGCTACATGCTGGTCCCATCACTACTATCATTAGCTCGGTAATATATACTAGCTCTGGGAATAACCTTTTCCCCCACCAATGCCCTTAACTCAGTCCATCCAATTTGGCCCTTTAAGAAATCTCTACATGGGGGACCAGCAGTTAGCGTAATGGTTATGTCACTGGACTCCCATGTAGTCGACCACAGTTCACGTCCTGGACCCCGTGGCTTAAAACTCACGCCAGGCGCATGTGCGTGCATGCCCAAGATCCCAAGAGGAGAATGGAGGAGAAGGAACCGCGGTGTGGCCATCCCCCCAGGGGGTGATTTCTCGCTTTCTATCTCTCTGTCTCTCTGTCTGTCGGGCGAGCGCATGCGTCCTATAGCAAAAACCTCTCCACCCCGCCCAAAAAAAAATCTCTACAGAGAGCCCGCAGGTGGCATAGTGGTTAAGGTGTTGGACTCCCACATAGCCGATCACAGTTCAAATTTCAGACTCAGAGGCTGGACATGTACGTGTGGTGCATGCATGCTGAAAATTATATTCTCCAAAGGAGAAAAGGGATTATGGCATGGACAACACCTAAGGGATGATTTCTCACTTTCTCTGTTTCTCCAGTGGGCTCATGCGCCCTATAACAAAAGTCTCTCTTAAAAGGAATAGCAGGGCTGGCAGTGGTTTGGTGGTTAAGGGTGGTAGACTCTGACATGGCTGATTGTGGTTTGAGTTCCAGACGTGGCGGCTCACTTTCTCTCTCTCTCTCTCACTTGCTCTCGCTCTTACTCTGTCCCTCTCTGGTCAAATTAAAATAAATAAATAAGTAAATAAAGCTAAATACAATTTTTTTAAAGGAATATCTACACTAGGAAGGCCAAGTCACAAAACTCAATACATTAAAAGCTTAAAAGCTTGTAAAAGCAGTGTGTTTAGTCACTTACATTCAGGAATCTCAGTCAATGGAAGGAGTAAATCCAAATTATCTGACCACTGACACTGCGAAATGGAACTACAGCATTTTCAAATTTACCAAACACTAAAGCACTTAGAGAAAATAGAGATGTCAACACATCTGTAAAATATCTACTATATCCTCAGGACTTTCACTAAATCCTTAAATATACTACAGTGGTATGTAACAATTTAAGAAGTCTCACACCTTTTACTGTCTGTCTTTAAAAATAACTTCTGGGCTGGTCCTGTTGCCTCGTGGATAAAGGAGCTGAATCCCACATGGCCAATCTCAAGGTTGAATCTCTGCCCCAGTGGCCTGAGGAACACGCAAGGCATACATGTGAGTGTACCCCAAATTCCAACAGGATGGGGAAATGGAGGAGAAGGAATGGACACATGACCATGTTCGACTGTGGGGTGCTTTCTCTGTCTTTCTCTGAGGAGTGCACATGTCCTCATGAAAATGAAAAACAAACTTGTAATCCATAGCTATATCCTTTTTTTAAATTCATACCCAACAGGAATGTCTACTAAATCTATGAAATTCCATTGCTCATGTTCCAGATTTGTAAGAACTGCAAACAACAAAGGAGCAAGTCAGAGGCTGTTAGACAAAGGACAACTACTGGAGACTCATTTTAATCTCGATTAAAGAGCTCAATTCCAAATATCTCAGTCTTGAGACCTTTCTTGAACTAGTAACCCAACAAATGGGAGAACTTCGAACTAAACTAACTGGGGCTGGGCATAAGAGAACATTCTACCCCATCAAGAGCTCAGACCATCAGAACAGAAATTCTCAATGTCCTATGGCTTCTGAAACCTCAGTGTCCATTATAACAATATTTAGTAAGATAACTAGAAGAATAAAGAACTCATATATGCCTCCCTATTCCTCATAGATAAACTCTGGGCAGCTGATCCCTTTGTATAGCAAATGGGCATAGTGCCTTTATTTTTCAAAGAGGTAGCAAACATTCTTCTTCTCTATTTGAACTGAAAACCCAGCCAACAGCTGGGCCCTGTGAGGTCTTTACCACATGCATTTTTATTCTATACTAAAATAGGGCAATCAGCATTTTCCTGCTTCTCTTTGAGCAAACAAAGGTTTCTGGAAGAGGAAGGCACAACCCAAAGTACGCAAAGCTAATGCAACCAAGATGGCAAGTTTCACACAAAACTATTTTCAATGACCCGCAGTCAATTACCAACAAAGCTGGGAGAAGAGGGGGTCAATTTAGACAGTTCCATTTGGAATCGGAGATAATGAATAGAGAAGATAACCATCAATAGTATCCTCAATTATTTATTTATTTTTCGTTTCGCTAGAGGGTGCATGCACTCACCAGAGACAGAAACAGAGAAGAGGAAAGTGAGAACTGTCCCTTGCTGGGGGATGGCCACACTATAATCCCTTCTCCTCCAGTCTCCTCTCAGGATTTGGGGAAAGCAGGCATGTACATGTGCCAGTCTGATTTTCAAGCCACTGGGTCTTGAGTGCGAACCAAGGAGTTGGCCCTGTGGGATCCAGGTCCTTAATCGCACACATCCATGCCACTGGCTGGCCCTAAACTCACCTATTTTTTAAGTATCCCAATAAACTTTGTTTGTTTTATTTTGATTTAATATACCTATAAATTACTAGGGGTGGGGGGAGGGGAGGAAGAGGACCAACAATTTCAAACCATCTTTTTGTTTTTTTAGTTGTCAGCTCACCAGAGCACACAGAGAGAGGGAGGAAGCACCCACAGTTGGGTGCAGTCATGTACAATGACTTCTCCACTACTTCTCCTCCCTGTCAGGATACTGAGCACACATACACATGTGCCTCGCATGTTTCTCAAGCCTCCAGGGCCAGGATTTCAACTGTAATCGACCATGTGGGATCCAGCTCCCAATCACTAGGTCATAGGGCTCGCTTTTTAGGGACAAAAAAAAAAACAACAACAAGAATTTGAGCAGTTCCCAGTGTTTAAGTAGTAATGTCCATTTTACCCAAGTTCTCTACCCAAACAAAACAGTCTCCTTTCAGAACATCTAGACTACAGGACCAGCAGTTGGCACAATGGCTATGTCACTGGACTCCCATGTAGTCGAGCGCAGCTCAAATCCCTGACCTGGTGGCTTAAACTCACAGCAGGCATGTGTGCGTGCGTGCATAAGATCCCAAGAAGAGAAGGGATTTTGGCGTGACCATCCCCCCCTCAGGGGTGATTTCTCATTTTCTGTCTCTCTGTTTTTCTGGCAAGCACACACTCCCTTTAGCAAAAACCTCTCCCAAAAAAAGAACATCTAGACTACTGGAATGTGCTACGAAAAATACAGTTCATAGTACAGTATGAATACTGTGCTAAAACATAATATGGAGGGGCCGGCAGGTGGCGTGGTAGTTAAGGTGTTGGACTACCACATGGTCAACCAGTTTAAGTCCAGATCTGGTGGCTTGCTTTCTCACTTCTCTCTCTTTC